AATACAGCCTGGATAGTAGGTAATATTAAGGAGTTATGTGTTAATTGTGATGAATGTGGTAATGGCACTGTGCTTACATTAAAAAATTTCTTTTTTTCCTTTCTCTGTTAGGGACCCAGAGTGACATAGTTTATAAGGAAAACAGTATTTTGCCTACCTACTCTGACAAGATAAAATGCACCCCCAGACCCACCTCTTCCCATTCTCTCTCCCTTTATCTTCCCTTATCTTTCCTCACAGCATTTATCGGTACCTGACATGTTATATTTTTATTTGGGGATTTGTTATGATCTATTTCTCTCCATTAGAATGTAAGCTCCCTGAGGGAAGAACTTTTGCTATATTCCCCACGCCTCCCTCCTCTTCCTCCTTACTCTAACCTTGCTTATTATGAACCAATTCAATGACTTCCTGCCATCCATCAATATCCATTTTATTCTTCTTTCTCTATAACAGAACCTGTGATTTTAGCTTGGCATATGGCTGCCTGTTATAAGGACTATATTTCCCAGCCTCCCTTGGAGCTATGGCATGTGACTAAGTTCTGGCCAATGGGCTATGAACAGTAGTTTGTGTCAATTACAGGAAGTATCCTTAAAGAGAAGGGATGTGCCTTTCTTCATCTCAGTTCTGCTGCCTGGAATGAAGGTATAATGGCTGGCCCCCCAGCATCCATATGGGACTATGTGGTGACCATGGGAATGAAATCCGTTCACAGCTGAGTAACCCGTGCCAAGGAGCAGGGGTCCTCTGGGCCACCACTGGGACACTACACCAGCCCTTGACTACCTACAGACTCTTAAGTGAAAAAGAAATAAACTTCTATTTTGTTTCAGCCTCTTATTTTGTGTTTCTTGAACTGCAAATCTAAACCTAATCCTAACTGATATACTCATTCATTTATTCAGGCGTTCATTCATTCTGAAATGAGCCAGGAACACAGACTAATGGAACTGGTTATGCAGGTCTGAGATATTTCTCCATATGCCTCTGCATGGGACATTGAGTGCCTCTCTGCCCCAGAAATCCCTGGAGGAGCTGGACATTGGGGTCACCAATAAGGGGACTCTACATTCTCATGAAAACAAAGCTCCCTACCAGGGCAGCATGAAGGTGACCTGGAGTAAGTAGTTGTCCCTCTCTGGGCCTCATCAACCTCTTCACCATCAGCTAACAGCCTTGCCAGGCCTCCCAGGAAGGGTGGGCGTAAGTCCAAGTGATGCTGACCCCAGACCTCTAAGCATAAACAGAAAATTAGGCAATTATCTTCCTAAAGGGTTGGAGGAGGTATCTCTAGACTCTACCAGCCTCAACCACCACTCCCCACTTCCCACTCCAGTCACTTCCAAAAGAGGCTCCTACCCAGTGATCTAAGACATTCTCCCAGCTTCATAAAATACTGGCCCCATCCTGCCAGCAATGTCACGTTGGGTTATGCTTTACTCTTCTTGTAAGGGTGGGCAGCATGAACTCTCAGGCCTGGGAGCAAGAATTACATGCATCTAAGGAGAGGTAGAGGAAATGAACAACAAATGGCCCAGATTGCCCACATTTTTGGGAGGGCCAACTGCAGATAAGGCTCAAACCTAGGCGGCTCAAAGCAGGGCAATTTAAGAAACATGTATTAATACATATGCCATCAGTCAGGATCCTTTAGTCTCCAATGATAGAAATCCCAAGCTTCAGCCTAAAGGGGATGCATAATGAACAGTCCGTGGGTGCCTCCTTGTTCTCTGCTGATGTCCCGAGAGTTGCTTTGATTCGACAGCGTGGCTCCTGGGCCCACCCTTGAGCCAGTCAGAGTGGGAGTATAGGATGGCCAGAGGGCAAAAAATGCTTGAATTGACTCAGATTAGGGTCACATGCTCCTCCCCTTGATTCAGAGAAGTGACTTTCCTGCCGTACCTGTCAGAGCCTTTATATGAGTATATGGGCAAACAGCATATGGTGTTTCCTAAATTGCTTCGAATTTGAGCTAACGCTGAAAAATGAGGAGATCCATTATTCTGAGCCTGCAATTGGGTGGATTTGAGCAGTGGCAACCTCCTTTAGATAGAGCATGAGCTCCCCAGTTTGCTCCAATCCCCACTATTCCCTGATGTCTATCCCCCAAGCTGCTTGTAAGTTGGTTGTCTGGCTAGTGATTGGATTATAACCCCCAAATGCAAAAATGGGAAGCACTACACACTTTGAGGGAAATCAAACAGCCCTCAGTTCACTGTAAGCAGTCCCTTATAAATACATGGATGCATGTACTCTCCCACATGCACAAACAGACACAAGTACACAGGGGCACACACAACCCCACACCAATAACTTGGGATACAGAGCCAGCCTGAGCCATCACTCCCACAACATGAGGGTCAGATCCTTCTCTGCAAGTACTGGGACATGTGCCCTGCTCTGTGCTGGGTTCTTGCTCAGGCTGGGGAAGGGGGAGCTGCAGTGGCATGGCCCTAGTCCCCCTCTTTGTGCCCCTGCATTGCCTGTAGCCAGCTCAGGGGTAAGAACACTTCCTTTGCCAGCCAAAGGCTGGACCCCAAGCCTCTGTGTCAGCCTGGTTTAAGGCTGGGGCAAGGAAGTAGATGGAGGCAAGGCCTCTAGAGGCAGGACGCTGAGCCAGCCCAGCGAGGGGACAGAGGAGCCGCAGCCACCAGAACCCACATGGAACCAAAGGGGAGGGGCCCCGGCTGGGGCAGGAGGCCAGGTGACTCACAGCAGGTACACACAGCCGGCAGCCCAGTTTGCCATGCTCTGTGTAGCCCTGAACAAACACAGGAGAGAAGCTCCTGTCCCTCCTGGCAGTCTCCCGATTTCCCTGCTGAGCTGTCCCAGAGGGCACAGACAGAATGGGGCGTCTCTGTGCCTCCACCCTGCTACATCAGGAGACAGCACCCACGGCCTCAGCTTCCATCCCCCTTGCCTCTTCCTTTATCTCCCTCCACCCTCCCCTTGGCATTCCTTGGGTGCCAACCAGGAAGGGCCAAACTAAGATAACTGGCACATATTATCTAGATGGGGGTCAACAGGCCCCTCGGCTTCTTATCTCCAGCTTGCCAAGACCAGAAGGGGAGCAAACAGCAGCTGACACATCTCCCAGGGGTGCAGCCAAGGACAGAGGCCTGACTGGAAGACAGAGCACCTGAGACCTAAGTGAGCTCTGCGACTCACCTAGAGGAGCACAGATGGGGGAAGAGCATCACTGAAACAATCCCCAGGGGCTCCAGGGAGGATGCTGCCTTCACACTGGGTTTAAAGAATGGGTAGGATTTAGGAGCATGGAGGGCATGGCAGGCGGGGGACACAGCTCAAGCAAAGTAAAGGAAGTGTAAAAGCAATAGTGGTTAGAGATGCATGAACTTCAGATGTTTATGTATCAGCATTCCAGTCCAGCTGTGTGACCTGTAGTAAGTGCTCAACTGCACTGTGCCTCCGTTTCCCTATTTGCAAAAATGAAGGTAATAATAGTATCTACCATGTGGGTTATTGTAGGGTTTAATGAAATGACTGCTAAGCCCCCTGGCACACAGTAGGTGCTCCATACATGAATAAATGTATCACCCCTTGCTGTTGGGGAGGACTGCTCAGGTGATAGTAAAAACTAACATTTATTGAAAGACTGCATGTCCATAAAAAGAATCCACAAACAAGATGTTTCACAGCTTAGAATACTGAGGAGCTGAAAGGGATCATCATTTGCTCAAGGTCACCAGGCTAGTAAGTAGGAGCAGAGTTCAAGGTCTGGCTGAGGCCACTTCTGGGGCTCCAAGTCCCCTCATTCTGGGGAGCTCACACAGTACGACTCCAGGGAAATAAGGCTGGGTTCTGGTGGCTTCCGAGGGGCAACCCCAGCGGTGGAGGGGATGTCTGGGGTCAAGGACAGCATGAGACCACACAACAGGAGAAGCGGAGCAGTTGCTCAAATCCTCCTCTGGAGTAAAGGGGTAGCTGCCCGGGGGAGGGACTCTGGGAGCTGGGGCAAAGGAAAAGAGGTGGGCAGCCCCATGGGGGCCTCCTTCAGCACAGAGGTGCAGTCTGAGGTCGAGAGATGAGGGGGCACTTGTCCAAGGTCATAAAGTCCTAAAGAAAGGGGGCCTCAGTGGGCACCCCACACTCTGAGCCTTCTTTCTGCAGGGCTGTGAGGGGTTGCATAGGGCTCCCCCACGCCAAGACCTCGCGGGCCCCAGCCATCTCTGGGACCTCAGCAGCACCCCTCCCCCACCCCGCTGGGGTGGGGGACCCAGGAGGGGTAGAGGCAAGGGAGATGGAGGAGCTGGGGGCAGGCCTCCCCTGCGCTGAGCCAGGCTTCCACTGGAGACGATTTGCTGCCCCCTGGTGGCTCCAAGAGATTCTACTACTCCCTCGCGTTTCCTAAGAGATCCTTCCCACTGGCAGGAGATGCCCTATTCCTGGGCCAGTACTCATCCTCCCTGCGACCCACAGGGGGGTCCAGACCAACCTGGAGTCCTTCACTCCCCATGTCCCACCACCACCGACCCCTACACAAAGAAGGCTGTGGCCCGAGAAATATAGAGCCATATTGAAAAATCACAGGGTTTGAACCTGGCTGGGCCAGAATGAGTTAGGTCGCCTTCCTATGCCTCAGTTTCCCCATCTGTAGAAAAGGGATGATAATAATGTTTCCTACTTAATAGCGCCTTTGTGAACATTAAAGAAGGCAATGAATAGAAATGTCTTAAAAGAGTTCCTGGCACATAAGCACTTGATAGAGACTGGCAGTGTTCTCACCAGCCCAGGCCTGAGCATGTGTGCAGAGAATGTCCTCCTCTACTTCCTAAGCAGGTGTCCCAGGGACAAGAAGCCCTGTTAGGAGCTCAGCGTGGCTGGATTCCCTTTGAGACCTGAGTTTTGAATCCTTGGCTTCGTTCCCAAGCTCTGTGACACGGGGAGTCACTTCATTACAGAGCCAGACCCAAGGTTTCTGTGTTCCTTCTATGAGCTCGTGAGGATAGAAAAGTTGGTCCCAGTGGAGTTACAAATTCGATTTAGAAAGTGTTTATTGGCCAGGGCCGTAGGGTAGCCAAAGGGAGCCATTAAGAGGGCTTCCTGCAAGAGGTGGCTTGCACAGGAGCCCAGGGCAGTGTACACTACAGCCCATGACAGAGGCCCCAGCCAGCGACAGAAGGTCCATCCCAGACCAGGAGCTCTCAGCTCTGACCCAGCTGGGCTTTCAGAGCCTGCAGCTCTCGGCTGTCAATGCCATTGCCTCCACACACGATGACCACGACAGAGGCCAGGGAAGGGTGCAGGCGGCCCTCAGCCTGGAGCCTCCCGAGGAGACCTGAGTAGATGGCAGCCAAGGCTGCCCCGCAAGCAGGCTCCACCAACATGCGTTCATCATCTGTCCAGAGCAGGGGAATGGGGGTAAAGGAGAGGAGAGAGAGGGAGGAAGATCAGTTAGTGCTTGATGCTCTGGGCACCACAAATCCGTGAAGCTGGCCAGCCAGCCAGACATCTCACAATCCATCATTGGCCTGACCCTCTCCATCCATCAGTCTGACCATCCATCCATCCATCCATCCATCCATCCATCCATCCATCTGCCTTTCATCTTTATCCATACATCCATTCCTCTATCCATCATTAGACTGTCTGTCTGTCGATCCATCAGGGTAGCCATCAATCAACATATCCATCCATCCATCCCTTATCCATCATTTGTCTGTCTGTCCATCCATCAGTGTAGCCATCAATCAACATATCCATCCATCCATCCCTTATCCATCATTTGACTGTCTGTCCATCCATCAATGTGTCCATTAATCAATGTGTCCATCCATCCACCCATCCATCCATCTGCTCATTATCTACCTTTCTACTCACTCATACATTCATCCATTCACCCAACAAGTATTTATTGAGCACCCACTCCCTGCCAGACCCTGTGCTAGGAAGGCCCTGAGGCTCCAGCAGGGACCAGGACATGCCAGGCCCCACCTCACAGAGTTCATAGTCTAGTGAGGTGGATGAACAAGAGCCAAGCAGTTATAAACAGAGGGATTGGTGCACAGGAGGTCTCCAGCCCTGGGGGTTGGAGATGGGAGATCAGAGGAGGCTGCCTGGAGGAGGTGCCATGATGACTGAGCAGCCCCAGGTACATGAAATAGGTAGGGAGCAGGGCCCAGAGTGGGCAGCCTGAGGGAGGAAGAGCATGGACAAAGGTCTGGAAGCTAGAGATACATGGCACACTCCTTCTTCACCCCACCCCTTCCGCCAACTCGGCGTGCACTTGAGTAACTACTGCATATCCCAGCCCTGCAAAAGGTGCTGAGGATACAGACAACAGAGACCATGCTACTGCTAGGGAGTCCATAGTCTTCATATGCTCGAGCCTGGGTGTGCACGGGGCAGCGCTCACTCACCCAGGAACTGCTGCATAGCACGCACGGCCTCCACGTCCTCCACCACCTCAGAGAAGATCTTGAACTCCCGCGTGCATTCCAGGGCCTGCGCAGCCACAGTCCTTGCACCGAGGCACTTGGCCACACTGGAGGCAGGGGCAGGTGGGGCAGGGAGTGCAGGGGCGTGGGGAGGAGCTGGTGAGTAGNACTTGGCCACACTGGAGGCAGGGGCAGGTGGGGCAGGGAGTGCAGGGGCGTGGGGAGGAGCTGGTGAGTAGGGTCTCCACCCCACCAGAGCCCCAGGCCCCCTCCCATCCTGCAATGGGCTGGGGTCAGCATTGCAAGAGTCAACACAGCACCTGGCACCAGGAGGTGCTCCAAAATTGTGTGTCCCATGAATGACTGACAAATGCACGTCACTCCTCTGACTCTGTAACCATGATTGTGCCATTTTTTGCACAGACTACAGAAAGTCAAACAGAGAAAAGGATTTTTTTCATTTTATTCATTAATATTTATCATGTCTATACTATAGCTAATATTTATTGAATGTTTACAAGATGCTGGATGCATAGATTTCCTGTATTAATCCTCACACTAACCCCTTGAATTCGAAACTGATGACCTCCATTTTACAGGTAAGAAAACGGAGGCTCAGAGAGGTTAAGTAACTGGCCCAGAGATACACAGCTAGTCAGTAGCAGATTTTGGATTCCAGTCCAGGCTCCAGAGTCCATGCTCTTTTATCTCTGTACTCTGGATCACCTACCTGCCAGTACCTTTCTGAGCTGGGAAGAATTTCAGGGCAGGGAGAGCCTTTGGTGAGCCCATCAGAACCGGCTCTGCACCCCGAGTGGCCTAGAGCACGGACTCTGGAGCCAGGCTGCCTGGTTTCAAACCTTGGATCTGCACTAGCAGGGTGGCCTTGGGAAACTCACTTCACCTCTCAGAGCCTCAGTTTCCTCATCTGAAAAATAGGGATAATAGCAGTACTTGGCTCATGAGGTTTTCTTGGGGACTGAACTGAGTTAAAACATTTCAAGTGCTTGGAACAGAGCCTCACACTTTGTACATTCCATAGAAGGGTAGCTGTGGTTTTTTTGGCTGTTGCTATTAAGAACAAAGCCTGGGAGGGGACTCAACAGTAACTGAGGAAACACAAGAACAAGGAGGTAAGCACTACTGTAGGAACGCACTGTAAGGGAGGCCCTTGGGAGGGGATCCTCCATAAGACAGCCTTGCGAGGAGAGCTCTCTGCGGTGGGAGAAACTAGCCAAAAAAGGAGGGTGGGTGGAAGAGTGTTCTAGACAGGGACCAGCCTATGCAAAAGTTCAGAGGTAGGAAAGTGCACGACCCATTCAAGAGACTGGAAGACATGCTAGTGGCTGGAGTGGAGTGGGGAGGAGTTTGCATTTGGGTCTGAGTGCTTGAGGAAGGCATCAGCGGGGTTAAGCAGAGAGCGAAGAGTCGTGTAGAGCAGTGGTGGAGGAAAGGCCCACTGCTGCTGGGGTAAGGGCCCAGTGGCAGCAAGGATACCCAGCAAGTCCAGTCCTAGGGATCCACCCGAGAGAAAGAGAGCATACATCCACACGGATGCTCACACGTGTTCATAGGAGCACCACGCATCATAGCTAAAAAAGCAAAACAACCCAAAAGCCTATCCACAGATAGATAAACAAAATGTGGTCCTTCCATGTAATGGAATAGTATTCAGCCATAAAAGGATGTAGAACATGGATGGACCTCAAAGACATGATGCTCTGTGAAAGAAGCCAGACACAAAAGTCCACATAGAACATGATCCCATCCACATGCGATGTCCAGGACAGGCACATCCACAGAGACAGGAAGGAGACCGATAGCTGCCAAGAGCCGGGGGGACGAGGGGCTTGTGGCTGGGGGGAAGGGCTATGGCTCAAGAGTATGGGGTTTCTTTGCAGATGATGAAAATGTTCTAAAATGGACTATGGTGATGGTTGCAAAATTCTGTGACTATACTAAAAGTCTTTGAATTGTGTACTCTAAGTGGGTGAATGGGCCAGCAAGGAAGGAAGGTACTAGAAAGCCACGAAGGAGACTCATATGTCCAGTTAGAATTCTCCTTGAAGCAAGGACTGAGTTTGTTTCTCTGCCTGGCTACCCAGAACCTGGTGCACGGAAGGTGCTTAATAAAGATGACTTAACAGGCTATCTTGATTTTAAACACCTTCCTGTTCATATATCATTATATCCTAGTCCCAGAACATAACAGGTGTTTAATAAAATGTGGGCAGTGCTGGTCTCTGCAAAGGATTCAATACAGCCCCCCTCAAATTCATGTCTACCCCAAACCTTTGAATGTGACCTTTTTGGAAATAGGGTCTTGCGGATGTAGTTAGTTCAGATAAGATCGTACTGGGGTAGGGTAGATCCTAAATCTGATGACTGGTGTCCTTATAAGCAGAGGACAGGCAATCAGAGAAGGCCACATGAAGACAGAGGAAAGGTGACGTGTCTACAAGTCAGGGAACACCCAGAATTGCCAACAACCGCCAGAAGCTGCACGAGGTGAGGAAGGATCTCCTTTAGAGCCTTCAGGGGTGGCATGGCACTTCTGACTTCTAACTTCAGATTTTAGACTTCCAGCTTCCAAGACTGTGAAAGAATAATCTTCTGTTGTTTTAAGGCCCCTAGTTCGTGGTCATTTCTATGGCAGTCCCAGAAGATGAAGACAGCATCCATGATAACGGTGGTGATGAAGAATATAAAGTGAGGGAGGGTCTGGAGGCTGGACCACTCTCTGTTAGTTTGTTTATAGGAAGTTTTCCTCGGCTGAATTAAAATTAGTTACAAAGATTTTTCTAGTGATGTTGTGGGAAAAAATGAAACTTTGTTCACAATATATATTATGCACCAGAAAAACAGTTATAAAACTGAATGAAGAATACAATCCCAACTTTAAAAAAATATGTAATCCATTCATTCATTTCACAAACAGTTATTGAGCACCTACTGTGTGCCAGGTACATTTCACTTGTATGCAATTATGTATGCACAGGGGAAAAGAAACAAAGCCTAGGGAAAAGGCAACCGACTGGGCATCTTTGGATGGTGAAATTGAGTGTGACATTTGGTTTTCGTTGCTTATTGCTTGCCTACATTTTCTAATGTATGTGGAACACTCTTAACTTATGTAACGATACACACCAGTGAAAACTTGTTAATTAATTAATGAGACTTAAATTAATTATATCTCTCATCGACTTTTTCAGCACTGCCTTCTAATTTGGATTCAGCCTGCTCTCCAGCTACCCCAAAATACCCCCAGCTGACACTTACCTGGTGATAGCCGGCAGTGTCACTAGCCTGCCTGCCTTGACGGCCGCATTGAAACAGTGTGCCCCTCGGGTCTCCATGGCAACCACGGGCACATGCTGCCAGCCCACCTCTGCCAGGCCAGCTGACACCCCAGCCAGGAGTCCTCCGCCCCCTACCGCCAGCACCAGGGCTCCTGGTGGGGTCCCCAGCACTGCCTTCAGCTCCCGCACCAGGCTGGCGTGGCCTTCCCTGGTGGGGGAGTGGGAGGGAGGAGCAGGGTGAGAGTCACCCCCAAACTTAAAGGCTCACATATATACCGACTCCCCTCATCACCAGCCACAACAAGGGACAGGGGACTTGCAACACTTAGTTCACTCAGCTTTCATCCATTCCATTCATTCATTCACTCATTCTTTCCCCCTTCACCACCCCCCTCACCCAGGCACATTCTCAGCCATTATCCCATTGAATCCCCTAGAAACCTTGGAAAGGGGTGATTTTTGTGTGTGTGGTTAAGAGGGAACCAGCAGAGCACTTGGAAGGAGCCCAGCTCAACTTCTGGGCCAACAACCTGATGTTTTTGCCACTGACTAGCTGTGTGATCTCAGACACATTTCTTGACCCCTCTGTGCCTCAGTTTTCTCATCTGTGGAACAGTCATCAAACACCCACCTCCATGGCTTTGAGGAGAATTAAATGGATTAAATGTGTCCCTAAGTATACACTCAATAAAGGGGGTTTATTATTAGCATTTCCATTTTACACATGTGGAAACTGAGGGACAGTGAGATGCTGGGCACAGAGCACATGACTCACAAGTGGCAGAAGCAGGGTTTGAACTCCAGTGTGCCTGGTGTCCAAGCCTCTTTTCCTCTCTAGGCCTCAGTTCCCCCTTCTGTCTAGTGGGAGGACTCTGGCTTTAAAAGCAACTCTCAGCCTTGAGCTCCATGGTGGGGAGGGGGGCACCAGCCTTACCATATCAGGGGGTGGTCGAACGGAGGAACATTCACCCAACCGTCCCTCTTGGCCAACTCTTGTGCCCTCAGATTGGCATCATCCCAGACCTGAAGAAAAACCGGAGTCCCCAGAGACCAGGGAATCAGGCTGCTATGGAAGCTGGAGCAGAGCCAGAGGTCTCCTGGGTGAGAGCAGAGCTGGCACGGGTCCCACAGCCTCCTAGGACCAGGGTGGAGGCTTCCAGGGAGATGAATAGAAGTCATGTGCTCCCCACAGTTCCAAGGGGACCTGTCTTGCTGCAAAGAATAAAGCCAGGCCAGCCTGCAATGCTAGGAACAGTGAACCCCAAGGCCAGCTGGGTGGTCTCCACTCCTAACCAACCAGTAGCTTGGAAGAAGGAAGGAAGGGAGGGACGGAGGGATGGAGGGAGGACAGATGGATGGATGGAATGAAGGATGCATGAATGGCAGATGGATGGATGGATGGGTAGGTGGATGGATGCATGCATGGATAGATGCATGGGTGGGTGGATGGATGGATGATGGACAGATGGATGGATGGATGGATGGGTGGGTGGGTGGGTGGTTGGACGCATGCATGGATGGATGCATGGGTGGGTGGATGGATAGGTGGATGGATGGATGGATGGATGGATGGATGGATGGATGGATGGATGGATGGATGCGTGGGTGGGTGGATGGATGGATGATGGACAGATGGATGGATGGATGGATGGATGGATGGATGGATGGATGGATGGATGGATGGATGGATGGATGGATGGATGGATGGATGGATGGATGGATGGATGGGTGGATGGATGGATGGGTAGATAAAATGAAAAGAAGGATGGATGGATGAGAGAGAAAGATGGAGAAAGGATGACAGATGGGAGGATGGCTGAAGGGATGAATAAACAGATGAAGGAAGCAAGGAAGGAAGGGAGGGAACTGTATACACTAAGTATTTAGAGGCCAGTTTTCAGGTACAATGGTATGACTTTTAATTTTAATTGTGATGGGTTTAAAAAATCTGTTTCTTAGGGATGCTTTTTCTCCTTTCCAGGAAGGTAGAAGGATTACATGTTTGCATCTCTGTTTCTTTGGTAACAATGTGAATCAGTGATATCCTTATCAGTGGGCATCTTTCATATTGGGGTGGTCTCAGAATGAGAAACGATACTGCCATCCCCTTTCTTTATACTTTCTGTTTCATCAAATGGCAAAAATTCTAAACTTTTAGACTGGATAATATCAAGTGTTAGTGAGGATGTGGGAAGATCACTCCTGGTAATTGCCAGCTTCCTGTTTCTTCAGGTTCGTGCAGGGAAAGTCTTCTCAGGCTGGGAAGAGCAGGGGTCTCCACCCTTCATATACATTACATCTCATTCCCATCCCTCAGCTCAGCCACCCCAAGAGAAGACAGGGTCCCAGGCACAGTTCATCAAAAGGAGGAGGAGAGCCTATCTCTTAGGGATGAGGTGAGGGATACAGGGAAACAGCCTGCTCCAGCTGCGTTCCCCTTCCTGGAGCCCTTACCTTTCCAGTGAGCTGAACCTCAGCCCCGTCCCCCTGCAGCCTGCTCACCACCTGCAGGGAGGTGCCTTCAGGGAGCACAACAGTGGCAGGGATGCCCAGCTTCCGAGCAGCGTAAGCAGCAGCAAGGCCTGCATTACCGCCTGTGGAGGCAATAGTGGGGGGTAGGGGGTGCAGTGGGCATAGTTGCCTTAGCCTGGGACACACTTTTTCCTCCCCATCCATTTCCCTTTGGGAGTCACTCCATCCCCACACTCATGCACCCACCTGAGTCCTCTCCCTGGCCCTGGAGGTGGACATGGGATCTCAATTGAGTCAATCAGAGAACTCAATCCTCTGACCTGTGATTGGCTCATGGATGAGTACATGACCCAAGCTGGGCCAAAAAGATCAATCTATGGATTGAGAAGAGCCATTCAGAAGGGGTGTTCCCTTTTTGGTAGGATTGGTACGATAGTAGGAGGCAAGACTGGAACTCCCAATGGCCAGCTTGCTACCACAAGGTCTAGATGAGAATAAAACGAGTACAGAGGAAAGACACACCAAGAGAAGGAGAGATACAAGCAAGAGCTCCTGGATCTAGCTGTGCCTGAAAGCTACTTATCCCATGAATTTTCAGTTCTTGGAGCCCTGAAACTTAAACCTTTATGAATTGGGTTTCTGTCACTTCTCCCACAAGTCCTGATTGATGTGAAGAGGGCTGGGACAGGACATATGAAGTGGTCATCTGACCATGACCTTCATGAGGCTAGACCTTTAAGAGGAGGCTAAGCCCTGGACATCTGCTGCCCCAGCCAGCTCTTCCTCCCCCACACCAGCCCTGAGGATCCTCATGAAGCAGAAAGGGGCCGGGTCACCTGAGGAGCACACCAGGTGTCTGCATCCCTTCTTGACCACCTGGGAAGAGAGAGAGTGGGACTGGGGGCTAAGCCAAGCAGAAGTCACGGAGGCCTGTGTGGGATGGACTCAGACCCTCCCCATCCCGCTCCAACACTCGCCACCCCTCATCCTGCCCCTCCCATCTACACAAGCTCCCTTCTCCACTCCTGCCTTCCTCCATCCAGCTGAGATCCCTCACCCCTCCCCTCCTTCCTGTACCACCTCTCCTCACCCTTCGGGCCAACACATCCTCACCTCCTGGCAGAAATGCCCAATGCCCCGGATCTTGAAGGAGCCAGTTGGCTGCACATTCTCACACTTGAGGAAGACAGTTGTGCCCGCCACCTGGGACAGTGCCCAGCTCTCCAGCAGGGGCGTGACCATGTGGAAGTGCTCACTATTAGCATGCTTTGCCCGTGAACACTCCATTCCCACAACCACTTGGAGGGCCTGCAGGAGGACACAAATGTCAGAGTCCAACAGCTCCAGGCAAGCTTCCCCTTAACCAGGGCAAGGGGGTGGAAAGTAGAGAAGACCTTGGCTCTCTTAACCCCATCTGGTGGCCAAGCTGTGAGGCTCTGCTCCTCTCTGGGCCTCAGTTTTCCCCACCTGGACAAGGAGGTTGGGATGAGGGCCCCTTTCATTTTTAACCGTGGCTGCCCACAGTGCTGGAGGTGTAGAACATGGGCAATACATTGTGATGAATGAATGACAGCAGAATTTATTCATCATGCATTCATTTAGTCAACAAAACATTTATTGAGCACCTACTGTATGCCAGGCAGTTCCAGGTTTGGGGACCCAGGAGTATAAAAGTCAGAGGCAGCCCCTGCTTCACCAGAGTTCACATTCTACTTGGGAGACAAATGTTTGGGGGGGGGGTGCATATTTTAGCACAGACAGTCAGGAAAAACCTCTCTCATGAGTAACTTTTTAAAAACTTACATTATGGAAATTTTAAACATGGCAAAAGTGTCAAGAACTGTATAATAAATCTCCTGTGTGGCAACGACTCCGCTCCAGCACTGATCAGCTCACGACCACTTGTTTCATCCATATCTGCACCCATTCTCCCCTCCCTGTACTATCAATTATTTCTCTTTTATTATTATTATTATTATTATTATTATTATTATTATTATTATATTTTCCTCCTATGTTATTTCATCTGTAAATATTTCAGCACTTATTTCTAACAGTAAAGAACTCTTTTTAAATAACGTAACCGCATGGATTCACAGTTGTATATATTTGTCCAAACTCAAGGAATTCTAACTGAAAATGGCTAATTTTATTTTATGAAAATCATACATCAGTGATGCTTTATAGTTCAGATGCTTTAGTTCGATATTTAAAATGTCATCACAATACCATTATCACATCTAAAAATATTAATCATAATTTATAATATCAAACATCTGGTAACTGTTCAAACTTCCATTTGTCTCATTGAACTGGATAAACGGTTGGTTTTGCGGCTGGTGGTGGTTTGGAGTTTTTAACAGTTTGGATCACGATGCAGATAGGACCTGTGTGTCTTGGCTGGTGGAGAGGTCTTTTAAGTCTCTTTGGATCTGCATGTTTCCGAGGGGAACTCTGAGATGTGTGACAGACAAGAAGGGAGTCCAAGAAAAAGCATATTCCTGCAGAGGGAACAACAGATAGACCCACTTTGACAGAGAAGTGAACATGGGGTATTGCAGGGGCGGAGAGAAGGGATTGAGTGTAGGAGGTAAGAGCCGGAGGCGAGCAAGGAGAAGCAGGCAGGGATGTGGGAAGGGCGTTCCAGCCCACGGTGAGGTTATTTCAAGCCTACTTGCAGTGAAAAACCATGGGGAGCTTTGAAGCCAAGGTGAGGGTGAGTGAGTTGGCGGGTGGATGAACCGGTGGGGAAGGGCAAGGAGAAGAGAGGGTGGAAATAATAATAATAATAATAGCTACCCTTTGTTGAGGAAAAGAGAAAGGAGCAAACAGCTCCTCTTTACTCCTCTAGGGCAGAAAAGCTTCAGGCCGCCCCTGCAGTTCCACTATGTGCCACTAAGGGGAGCGCGGCAGCCGCCCCCACCCACCACAAGCCTGAACTTGTCCACTTTCGGTCCGGGTTCCAGGTCTCCTGCTCCTCGATTTGACCCCGGGTCCTTGCTGGGATGGCTCCGGGATTCCCCAGACAGGGCGAAGTCTGAGCCACCTCCACGCAGTTCCTCGAAGGGCACCTCTTGAGTGGGGGATGTCACTGGCCGCGAGTTACCCAGGCTGCCCAGACCAGACTCCTCTCACGGCCACCTGGGCCTCACCTCTGCTCTGGAGCCCAAGAATGTGGGCTTTGGGATTGATCAGAGAATAAAATTAGAAACCAGCTCTCACTTTTTCTTTGTGTGGCCCAAACAAGTGTCTCAACCTCTCTGTGTCTGTTTCTCCTTCTATAAAATGGGAATAACAGTCTCCAAACCACAGATTTATGATGTGGATTAATAATAATAATAGCTACCCTTTGTTGAGTCCATATTGTGTGCCAGACATAAGCCGAGTCCCCTGGAGGCATTGTCTCACTGGGCCTCCTAACAACGCGGGCGTGCTTATCCTTATTCTAGTATGTGCATAGGGCACCCACAAGGTGCAGACCCTGACCTAGGAACTGGGGATACCACAGTGAACAAGTCAAATAACCAATCTTAGAGCTGACTTATAGTCTGATGGGAAGATCAGCATTCAATTAAAAAATGCTGTATATATAGAGAAACAAAATAATCAGAAATGGTGAATACAGCTAAGAGAGAAATACATACATATAGGAAGTCTTTAAGAAAGTAATAAGGGGATCTACTTTGGGCAGGGGGGTGAGGAAAGACCTTTTGGAGGAGCATTTAATATTTAATTGCCAGGTGTCCTTAGGAGCCATTAAAATTAAGAGTCCCAAAATGAGAATGAGCTAACCACCCAACAAACTGGGTGAAGATTTTGTGCACCATAAAATCATTATGAGGATTAAGTGAGGTCATATAATAAAGGCATCAACTCTGTACCTGACATATTATAATAATAGACAATAGTTGTGTGGGGCCTACTGTGAGCCAGGCACTGTGCCAAGAACCTTATATATTATCTCATATAATCCTTAAAACTACCCTGAGATAAGTTCAATAATTAACTCCATTTTATAGATAATGAAACTGAAGCCCAGAGAGGTTACATCACTTGTCCAAGGTCACACAGCTAGAAACAGCATGGCCAGGATTCAAACTCAGGCAGTTGCTTTGATATCTGTGCTTTTAACCACCATGCCTACTTCATGTATTATATTAGCATCATTCTTAAAGGTATGAGCATTTAATACTTGACTGCCAGGTGTCCTTAGGAGTCAAATGGTTCTGGCTCAGTCCCCAGGCTCCCCCAGCCTTCTTGGTTAGACCCAGCTTCCCACCAGAGGATAGTAGGCATCAGTCAAATGAATAAGCCCTAAGTTGTAAACAACCTTACCAAGTACAGATGCCCATTGGGCACAGTCTTCCCAGATGGAGGACTGAGGCCAAGCTGAGCCCTCAGCTCAGGGACACACAATTCTCACCCCATATGGCAGCTACCGGGGCTCAAGCAGAAGCCCCAGGCCTGCTGCAGAGCAATGCAGTGGGAAGGCTGGGGCTGGGCTTCAGGTCCCAGCAAGCAAGCAAGCCCTTGGTCAAGCCACTCTTCTTGTCCCCGTGGGGCCTCCCCTGCTGCATCTGTGCATTGGAGTAAGGGCCATCTACCTTTCCTCCCTCCCTTTTCCCTCAGGCTTTTCCAGAGGCCACCTGTGTGACATTCACAGCCAAATCCCTGGTGTGGGGCCTGGGGAAACTTGGCTGATCCTCTGCTTGCAGAATGCCCAGTCCTGCCCCTCGGGCAGCCAGGACCTGCTCCCTGGCCCCAAGGGCCCCGGCACCCAGCCTTCTCCTCCAAGGCAAGCCAGGCCCCGGGATGCACTGAGTCGAACGGGTGTGCTAGGAACGCAGAGGCCGCGCACCACCTCCCCCTTCCTGCCCACTCATCCTGGACTTTGTCCCAGAACCTTCCAGACTGCTGTACATTCACATTCACACGGGCACACAGAACCCCAGGGGCACCATTTAGGCCCCGGGTCCCCTTACCTTCCTGCCCAGCAGTCCCCAGGCTAGCTGGGCCGCGGCTGACCAGCCTGCCTGGGCACCAGCGCTCCCAGTGGCCTTGGCCCCTCCTTCCACGTTAAAGTGACAGCTCCCAGCGGAGGAAGGAGAAGGAAACGACCTTCACTATCTGCACGCCGTCCACAACACACACATTATCTGGTCCCATTTGACAGATGAAGAAGCTGAGGCTTAAAGAGGGGCCGAGGCCACCCAACCAGCAAGACACACCCTTTGTTTCTCACGCTGGACTGTTCCTTTTGTGGCACAGACACCTCCAGATTACTCCCAAGTCTAGTGCTTGTCCCAAATACCAAATCACTTCCCCCGGAACACCCGGGATCAGCTTAGGTCTGAGACAGGAAAACAAGGACAAAGAAACAGCTGCTACCTGTCACATGAGAAAGGCATATTTTTGTCTGAAATTCCTCATCTCTGATATATTACACCCAACTTAGGAGCCCAGTTATTTATTGTTCAAAGGAATGACTGACCATCCGTTCACTCAAATATTTATTGAATGCCTACTATATGTCAGGCCCTAGGACCATCAGCCTGAACCAAGGCAACACGCCGCTGCCCTCATAAAGCCCCGGGGGCCACTGCAGAGTGGTTCAAGTCAGTGCTGTCAGGTGCTGGCAGGAGGAGGTGGGGCAGGCTGTGGGCACCAAGAGCAGGTACCTCACTTGGCCCCAGCGGGCTGCAAAGGCTTCCTGGATGAGGGGAAGACTGAGCCGAGCCAGGAATCAGGGCACAAAGGAATGGGGCGCAAAGGTCTGGAACTGAAAAATGTGACGTGTTCCAGGAACAGAAAAGTGTCCAGTAGGACCAGACCAGAGAAGGTGTTGGGACTGGAGAAGAGGGCAGAGTGCACAGGGGTACCTGGGCCCATCCTGGGTCTAGACCTTAACCCACAGGTACTAGGGAGTCATGGAAGGCTGTAGGGAAGTGATGTGAGCAGATTCACATCCTGTGTCTGGCATTAACTCACTGGATGAAGCTGAGCCAGTCACATCCACCCCTGGGCCTGTTTCTCTGTAGGTAAAATGTGAGGTAAAGTCCAGGAAAGACCTAGCAGCCCAGATGTTCTGTGCCCTTCTAGGACTGTGTGTATCCTCGCCCAGGTTTGATGATTAACTCCTGACTGCTTGGGGTCAAGTCAAACTGCTTGGCCATGATCCTTGATGAGAACTCTGGCAGCTTCATCCCCATCCTCACGTTAAACATACACCCATTCTTGTCAGATATTCTGTCCTGGACTGGGCACTGGGAACACAGGTGGTAAAACCCAGTTCATGCCCCAAAGTGACACCTGGCCTGGAGGGGAAAGGAATATACCCAGTTCAGTGACAACTCTAATGTCCCCTAGGAAGTCAGAGAGCAGAAGATTCCCAGAGGGCAGCTAGGGGTAGGGTGGAATTAAGAAGGGCTTCCTGGACGTGTTATGCCTTAGCACACAGCTCAGGCTTGACAAGAAACACAACACCACTGCATTTATTGCATGCCTAGTATATGCCAGCCCTTTTGTGTTGAAAAGCATATCTCAAAAGTTTTTTTAATAGTTGGATATTTATTTCTGTGCATTAGGGGAGATATATTTATATACATATATATGAGTGATATCAAACCTATCATTTCATGACTGTTGTTCCTTAGGAAGAAACTAAGGTAGGAATTAAAGTTTAAATGGCGTCTTTTACAAAATATTAAGTAGCAGCAGTAGTAGTAGTTTCTAGAATGAAAAGGTAGAATGCCTAGGAGTTAGAACACAGACCCTGGAGCCAGGCTCTGGTACAAACACCAGCTCTGCTGTTTACTGGCTGTGCGATCTTGGGTAAGTTGCTTAACCTCTCTGTGCCTTGTTTCCACAACTGTAAGATGGAGATAAAATATTATTTCTCTGGTGGAGTTGATGTGAGGATCAAGTGAGTTAAAATATGCAAAATATTCAGCACAGTAGTAGGTGCTCTCTCCTCATTGCTGTTGTGCTACAGTTATTATTACTATAACAGTATGCACAACAGTAGGGCAGAAATTACAAAGGTGGCACAGGCATGTCTGAGGTTTGGGAACATGACATCATTATATCATAGAACACTTACAGTAACAGGGGCAGTCAATATTGTAATAAAACCCTCTATTGTAAAATCAGATTTGGATCAGAAAGGCCAAGTCACTTTCCCAAAGTCACACAGCATTGGCAGAGCCAGAACTCAGGCCCAGAGGCAGGAGGCTCCAGAGCTCCAACTTGGAAGGGGAAGGGGTGAAGAAGCCAGGGTGGATGCCTCAGAGAGCAGGTGGGGCTGGAGAGGCAGGTCAGGTCACAGCCTGCCCCCTCCCAGAGCCACCTTCGTCAGCCATCCCCTGTCCCTGACACTTCAGGACACCAACACCCACCTGGCCAGTCCCTTGGATTATTTATTAAGCTTTGTTTCATCATCTTTGGCCCAGCTGACGTTCTTGTTCCCAGGGTGATGGAACTGTGTGGACAGGAGAGATGGAGGCTTGGACACAGGAACTGCGCCCTCTTGACTTACAGGTCTAACCCTGAACTGTGTGTCATGTGCTTTCCAAGTCACAGAGGCTCAGTTCCATTAAACAGGTGAAAGAAGCCAGGCTTGGGCAGGCAAGTAACCGACCTAGTTAGTGGATAAACTAGCTGGGATTCGGACCTGGGTCTTCTAACAATACAATACAATATCTGATCTGAATTCTCAGACTCTCCCACCCTTGCCAAGATGATGAATCATTCTAGAGCAGAGAGGGCCTCAAACTAGGGGCCACATCTCTGCTGGCTGGAGCTGACTCACTCTGTCCTCTGTAGAGGGACATGGCTCTCCATGTGCAGCTGTCCCCAGCTCTCCCTATTGCCTCCCCAACACCAAACAGTCCCCCGCCTGGCCCCTGGGGATATTTGAGTTTGAGACCCCTGTGCAGAGGAACTCTCCCTCTCCCCTCCTGCCCTTGAAAAGGAAAGGAGTCAGTTACCAAGGGAGAAGCTGAGGCACAGACAGGCTAAGTTTCTTGCTTCAGGTTGTTCAGCAAATAGACCACAGGACCAATCTTTAAAGGACCCCAAATCCAACCTGGATGTTCTAGTGCTGAGAGACTTACAAATTCTTAGCCATGATGGCTGAGCTGGAAGAATCTTCAAGGGCTATCTAATCCATCCTTTTTGTGGATGGGGAAACTGAGGCCCAGAGGGGGGGAAAAAAGGGTAGTTTAATATCTGTCTTCAAAGTCAAGGAAAATGCTGGTCCATGTGAACCAGACTTTCAGAATTAAGCCATTCATCTGTGTATTCAGCAAACATTACTCTAAACTACCAAAATCTAAGCCTTATGAAAGGAGAGATGGAGACAAATAAGATACATTCCCAGCCTTCAAGGGGGCCTTACAGAGGCCCTGTCAGTAGATAGATGCAATAGAGCATTACAGATGCAGCAACAGGAAAATGCAAATTAGAGCAACACTAACATGCCATTAAGAAAAAAAAGATCAAGTTGGCAAAAACTACTTTAAAGCATAAAAGCAATAAAAACAAAGGCTGGTGAGTATGAGGAAAAATAGGCATCCTCATATGTTGCTGGTGTGATCAGGAATTGCTACAGCCCTTTGAAAAATAGATCTGTCAAAATCGATTACAATTTTATAAATATTCCTCCCTTTAACCAAGAAATCTTAACTTGGGAGCTTTATTTTCTAAAATAAGAAGTACCAGAAGGCACAAATGTGGGTATGAGAATATTTATTAGAGTGCTGTTTAGAATAGAAAAAAAAAAGAACCTGGAAGCTTGGATTCCCTTGAATTGGGAAATGGTTGAATAAGGTGATAATACACCTTCACTATGGAATATTATGCAGCCATCATGAAGAATAAATTAGATCTAAATCTGTTGACCCATAGACTTGCGCATGATGCTTTGTAAGTGAGAAAAGAAAAAAATGTACAAAGTGTAATGACTTTTTTTTTAATGAAATAACCCAAACTGCCTGATATACTGGCCTATGACTGTATAAATACCGTAGGCTCATGGAGAACAATGCTGATAATATGGACTGTCCTAGGGTAACGGGAGGAGGTGGGCTGAAGGAGCACAGAGCAGGAGGCAGGGGGCCATAATGAAAATGTAATGATGGAAATGTCCCATGATCTGTACTGTCTGGTATGATAGCCACTCACCACCGGTGCTCGTGTAACTGAGGAACTGAATTGTGAGTTTTGCTTAATATTTACTGACTTAAATGTAAACAGCCACAGCAGGCCCGTGGCTACTGTATTGGAGGGAACTGGGCAGAGAATCTGTCCGGGAAGTAGTGTGGACCCAACATGGGAGGTGTTGTCGTCACTGGGGAAGGGGTGTTAGTAAATCCTTCCCCTTTGTGTAATGACTTCCCCACCCTGAATGACATGCAGAAACACAATTACTAAACAGGGAGGGCAAATACACGAAATGAACAGTGGGTCATTGTGGCAAACAGATGGGTGCAACTCAAAAAAATCCCAGGCCCCGAAAAGAGGAGCTTTGCAGTGGACACACCTCACAAACACAGCCTCTGCTAGGCAATGAGGGTCAGCATCAACAGGGACGTGGTGATGTCAGTTGATAAGACCCTAATGATAAGATGGGTATGGCGCTTCCTCTCGGTGGTCTACCTCCCAAAGCCCATAGCCCCAGCCTACTTGTGAGCAAAACATAAAATCCACGACCTGTGCTATTCAAACTGTCAAGGTCATTAAAAGCAGGGAAGGCTAAGAAACTCTCAAAGCCAAGAGGACCCTATGCAGGCATGATAGCTAAGCATATGTAATGCGGAGTCCTGGACAGGGCATGGGAACAGAAAAAGGAATTAGGGAAAAACTAAAGAAATCTGAACAAGTTATGGACTTCAGCGAATAATAACGGATCAATGTCGGTTCAATAAGTGTCACAAATGTCCCATGTTGATCTAAGTTGCTAAATACGGGGGAAACTGGAAATTCCCAGAAATTCTGGAATTCCTATATGCCCATACTCCAGAAATGAAGGAGAATTCTAGAAATTCTAAAAGAAAACGTTTTTTCTTTAGATCCCTACTTCCAATTCTGCAAAAGTAGTGGGAAAATAACAATACCTCTCCCCTGAGGATGCTGCAATAATGAGGCTTTTTAGCATTTTCATTAACATAGAGCTTAATTGACAAAAGT